AATCTTGACATATCATCCCTAGATCTTAATATATCCCCTTTAGAAATGAAAAACACTATATTTTTCTTTAAGCCTTTTAAATCACCTGGTCCAGATGGACTCCACCCATTTTTCTTTCAAAAATATTGGCATATACTCAACTCCTCAGTCACAAATCTTTGTCACTAAGTTTTTGAATCGGGCAACCTACCAACAGGCGTTAATGATACCTATCTTTTTCTTATTCCAAAAATCCCTAATGCAAACAATCTAAAAAAAATCGGCCTATTGGTTTATGTAACACCATTTATAAAATTATTACTAAGATTATAACTAATAGACTAAAAACCTACCTAGTTAATATTATTAGCCCCCACCAAGCCAACTTTATTAAGGGTAGACGAACTAGCGATAACGCCATAATAATCCAAGAACTTATGTTAAAAATGCATAAATAATTAGGTTCTAAAACAAATATGGTCTTGAAAATAGATCTTGAAAAAGCTTTCGACCGGTTAGAATGGTCCTTTATATACAGAACTCTTCGTCATTTTAGTTTTCCCCCAAAGATCTCTAAACTCATCATGAGTTGCATCACGACTAGTAGAATTTAATGGCACTAGAAGTAATTTCTTTAGCCCCAGTAGAGGAATTAGGCAAGGTGATCCCTTATCCCCCTATATTTTTATTCTCTTCATGGAAATGTTATCCACTCAAATCCTTCACAATGTAGTATAGGAACTTGGACTCCTATTAGAATGGGGAAAAATCAATGCCTATTATCTCACCTTTTCTATGCGAACGACCTTACTTTAATGTGTAATATTGATAAAAAATCCCCAACTACTATCCTTACCTGTCTCAAGCATTTTCGCATCCTATCAGGGCAGAAAATAAACTATTCCAAATAAAAAATCACTGTCTCCAAAAACTGCCCCAAACACACGTCTATGGCTTTAGCCAAACTATTTAACATCAACATTAGCAATAGCTTTGGAAAATACTTGAAATTTCCCATCACAAATAATAAACAAAAGTTATCTAACTACCAATTTATTCTTGACAACATGACTAGAAGATTTGCATCTTGGAAGTCAAACTTTCTCAACATGGCAGGGAGAACTACCCTGGCCTCTTCTTCCCTGAACAGTATGCCAGATCAAATCATGCAATACAACTACCTCCCTATAAAAATTGTCAAGCATAACAATAAAATTCAAAGAAATTTCATTTGGGGTTCTACCAGCACAACCAAAAAAATTCACCTTATTGCTTGGTAAACTATGACCAGTGACAAGAGTAACGGGGGACTAGGCATTCATTCAGCAAAAAAAAACCTAGTAAATTTAGCAAACCTGACTTGGAGATTAATTCATAACACTAATAATCCTTGGTCCATAATCCTTTCTTCAATATATGGCTCCACCAAAACTTCAAAAATTCCTCCTTTATATGGAAAAGCTTGGTGAAAGCCTGGGAGATTAGTAACAAGGTATAAAATGGATTCCTCACACCAACTCAAATATGAACATCTGGCAATCAAATTGGGTCCTTAAATTCCCAAACCTTAGACAACTCGTGGAGGGGCCTATCACAAAGAATTGCAATAGCCTTACTATAAAAGATATTTGGGTTAATAATAATTGGGATCTGGGAAAAATCCCCTTCGACCTCTCTCAACAAACGAGAAATAGTATCATTTCCATACACCCTAGGAGATGCTCAAGCGACACTATGATTTGGGATCTAACGGGATTTGGGATTTTTTCTACTAAAAGTTGCTATAAAATAATTAGCTCCAACAATCAAAATACAATTGACTTTAGCTGGATTTGGGAACTTAGCTGTCCTAATAAGACCAAATTTTTTTGTGGAAATGCCGTCACAATAAACTTCCTAGTCGATCCAACCTCCACTATATAGGCATAAACATAGATCCCACTTGTCCAGTATGCAAAAATGACAAAGAAACCATCGAGCACATTTTTATTGGCTGTAAAGCAGTCCTCAAATACTGGAACATGAGGGGTTACTGTAACGATCCGGCCGGTCGTTTTGAGAGTTAGAGCCCTGATCCCCTATTAATTGCTTTCCCCGTAACTATTTCTGCTATTGTGATTTGCCGGGTTTCATTTTGGTTTTTGAAGTATATTGGGACACTTAGTCCCTAAATGGAAGTTTAAGTCTTAGAACTTGGACCGTAGTCAAAACAATGTGAAGACTGCTCCGGAATGGAATTTCGTCAATTTTGTTAGCTCTAGTTGGGTGATTTTGGGCTTAGGGGCGTGTCCGGATTGTGTTTTAGAGGTCCGTAGCTCATTTAGGCTTGAAATGGCGAAAGTCGAATTTTTGGAGTTTTGGACCAGTAGTGGAATTTTTGATATCGGGGTCGGAATCCGATTCCGGAAGTTGGAGTAGCTACGTAATGTTGATTATGACTTGCGTGCAAAATTTGGGGGTCAATCGGACGTACCTTGGTTGATTTCGGTATCGGTTGTCGAATTTGGAAGTTTCAAGTTCATTAAGTTTGAACCGAAGCATGATTTGTGTTTTTAGCGTTGTTTGATGCGTTTTGAGGGCTCAACTAAGTTTGTATGGTGTTTTAGGATTGGTTGGTATGTTTGGTTGAGGTCCCAGGGGCCTCGGGTGAGTTTCTGGTGGTCAACGGGTCATTTTGGGCTTTGGAGAGATAGCAGATTTTGCTGGTTTTTATTGCAGAAGTTTGTTCTTCGCGTTCGCGAAGAGAAGCCCGTGTTCGCGAAGAAGAGTTGGGACAGGAGAAGAAATATCTCTTCGCGTTTTCAAGTAAGGGGACACGTTCGTGAAGGTCTGTCCATCAGTGTATCGCGAACGCATGAATGGCATCGCATTCGTGTAGAGGAAATGGAACAGCTGGGACCTCAGGAATTGGTTCTACGCATTCGCATATAGGAGGACACGTTCGCGAGGGGTCTGGCAAGTGAAGCTACGCGTTCGCGAGAGGACACTTGCGTTCGCGAGAGGACACTTGCGTTCACGAAAGAGGAAATTTGAGCAGTGGATTTTTGTGCTTCGTGAACGCGAGGCTTTGACCGCGTTCCCGAAGAAGGGCGTACTTGGGCTGAATTTAAAGTTCAAAACGAGGGTTTTGAGTTCATATCACAAAATTGAATTGGGAGCTCCGTAGAAAGCGAAATTTTGAGAGATTTTCATAGGAAGTCATTGGGTAATGATTCATAACTCCTTTATGATCATATCCCACTAATCTATGCTTGATTTCACCATTTAATTTCGGACTTGGGGTGGAAAATTAGAAAAAATTGAGGAAAGTTCTAAGGCCAAATTTTGGGGTTTTGATCGGGATTTTGGTATTGTATTTGAGTAAATTTGATATGGTTAGACTCGTGAGTGAATGGGTGTTCATATTTTGTGACTTTACCCGATTTCGAGACGTGGGCCCGGGGAGACTTTTTGAGCGATTTTCCAATTTCTTGCCTTAGCTTTGATTTCAATATCTAGATTAGTTTCTTGTAGTTATATTTATGTTATGTAATTGGTTTTGGCTAGATTTGGTCCATCCGGAGCCGGATATTCGTGAAAAGAGCATTGTTTCGGATTGAATTGAGCTTGGTTCGACGTAAGTGGCTTGCCTAATCTTGTGTGGGGGAACTTCCCTTAGGATTTGGTATAGTTTTGATATGTGAGTGTCGTGTACGTGAGGTGACGAGTACGTACACGGGCTATTTGTTGTAAAACCCCATTTTTCACTAAGTCATAACCTGTTTTCTTCTTATTTGAACTACACTAGCATATGAAACTGTCTTGCTTAGTTAGAATAGCATGGTTACGTGTTTTACCTGCCTATTTGAACTCTGTGCAGCATGTTTAGTGAAATTACCTGCTTTCTTTGGCTTGAACTTAGTCTAAACCGTAGGTTTTCTTACTGTTATTTCTATTAGTTGAGCTGCATATTTACTTTGGGACTACGGAACGGTATTCCGGAAGATCCCCCTATACTACATATTTACCTTGGACTACAGAACAGTATTTCAGGAGATCCCCCTGTTCTGCATATTTACTTTGGGACTACGGAACAGTATTTCGGGAGATCCCCCCTGCACATTTACGTTTGGGACTACGAGACGGTATCTTAGGAGATCCCCTGTTGTTATCGCTGTGTTATGAGCTGTTTTCTTTTGTTTATTCTATCTCTGTTAGATTCCTGTATCTATCTTTACTGTGATATTTCGTTCTGTCTTATTTAATTATATTTATACCAGTAGGGCACTGACCTGGCCTCGTCACTACTCGATCGAGGTTAGGCTTGGCACTTACTGGATACCATTATGCAGTACTCACGCTATTTCCTGCACATGTTTTTCGTGTACAGATCCAGATTCATCGTACTAGCCTCATCACTAGTTGCAATCGTTCCTGCTTATCGAAGACTTCAAGGTACATCTGCCCACGCCCGCAGATCCTCGGAGTCCCCTTCTATCCCCCTATGTTCATTTTTCCCTCTTTCTGTAGAAATGATGTGTAGAACAGTTAAGACTTCTTAGTAGCTTGTGACTTGCGGGTTTCTGGATTTTGGAAATTATTTCGTACGTCTCCGAAGTGATAATTGTATATGCCAAGTGGCATTTAGTTACTTATATTGTTATTGTTGGTAGTTAATGATCATGCTTTTGTTTCTTCTTTTCCACAAAGTGTTAGGCTTACCTAGTCGTAGAGACTAGGTGTTGTCGCGACAAATCACGGAGGGAGAAATTAGGTCGTGACAGTTACAAATCCTCTCCTCACCAAAATCTGTACCATTGGCTCCAAACCATTAGAGATTTAGATACCACCATCCCATCCCCTTACCTTACATGGAAAGAGATGTACCCTTTTGTCCTATGGAGCATTTGACTCAATCGTAATAACAATAATCATGCCAACACGACCTATAATTTTAACCCTAAGCACTCCTTGGCCCTAGCAACTGAGTATAAGCTCTTTACGCAAAAAATCATTCCCATGCAATAAAGGTTGCATAGCACATGCCTCACTCTTTCTACAAGCTCATCATAGACGGTGCGTTCAAAGAGAAAGAGAAGTTGGAGGGATTAGGAGGTGTATTCAGGAACCATAATGGTCACTGGATAGCGGGCTTCCAACACCACTGCTCAGCTATTTCACCACTTCAAGCAAAACTAGAAGCACTCAAGGAAGACCTCATTGTAGCACTGACAAAGGGATTCACTCCACTGATTATTGAAACTGACGCAACAGAGTAATCAAAGTATTAAAAATTGGTTGTGTTTCTCATGATATGATTATTTGCACTTGCAGGTGGATAATGCTCCAGCTGAAGCAGCCGTCTATCCAACATAATTTCAGGGAAGCAAATAAGGTAACACATAAACAGGCTAAGGAAGCTCTCAATCTTCCAAAGGTACATCAATTCCTAGACAGACCACCCCCTTATGTTATAAATAATTTGGCTACAGATAGGGCTAATTGTGTTTATTTTGTTAAAAATATTAGTACTGAAGTATGGTGTAAGCTCGCCAACTTGGGCAATACAAATGTCTTTAAGGCATGTAGTTGAGTGATGTAACAGACAATATTCCGTGGCTTATATATAAATTATCTCCTTTTTGTCAAAAGAAAAAATAATTGTTAAGAGATTTAAAAAATGAATTGGGAAGAAGTTTTGAGTTGGATGGAGTGATATGACACTCCCAAACTCATCTTGCCTTTATCCAAATTGACCTAAACAAACTAGGGAGGTGGATTATAATAACGCCTTTGACTTAATTTATTTTAACTTGCCTTTATTTGAACCAGTTTATTGTAATGAAGGGTGATTATATTGAAATGAAAAACTATATTTAAAACACTGATAGAGGAGTTCATCTCCTTTCTTGCTTTAAAATTTAGAAATAAACAAAAAAATAAAGAAGAAAAGGAGGTTCCTAATTTCTGGTTTCTGCTACAAACAACTGAAAAGAAAGACCAAGTGATAGAATACCCTAATCACTAGAGGCTCGTGCTATTTATAGGTCTCCTATTCCATTCAGCCACCAGTATTTTAATAGTTTTTTCTCAATATAGATCTCACGTAAATTAGTTTTTATTAAATTGCACGGGCTAGCCATTTTTCGGATTGGTAATCGAAAAATAGCTAGCGTTTGCAAAGTCATTGAAAAATAATCATTATTTTGCTGAAATACAAAAAGTTCCAGCATAATATGCGGGATTATGGAGCTCCTGTGTATAAATTTCCAGCATATTATCTTGAAACTCCAGGACACGAAAAGTTCCAGCATAATATGCGGGATTATGGAGCTCCTGCGCATCAACTTCCAGCATATTATCTTGGAACTCCAGGACACGGAAAGTTCCAGCATAATATGCGGGATTATGGAGCTCCTATATATAAACTTCCAACATATTATGGTGGAACTCCAGTACATTATACTGGAAGCTCATATGTAAAAAAAAATTGAACTCTAGCATATTATGCTGGAATATTTCTGGATTTTTAACAGTGCTTTTATTCAAATTCTATCTTTACATGAAAAGTGACTAAAATTCAATTACTTTTGGAACTGTGACTATTTTTCAATTATCACTTGTAAATCTGGCTATTTTTGAACTTCTCCCTTAGTTTTCCTTATTCTACTAATTGGCCCAAACACCTTAGCTTCTAGCCCAATTGTATAATCAGTCATTGGCCTGTTCATAACACTTACCCGTTCATCACTTTTAAAATTTGGATTTTGAACTAATCCATATTTTCATGAGTTCCCATTTTACCAAAACCTACAGAGAAATACCAAGAATATAATGTCCTTTGTTTGGCAAGATTGGCTTTAACAAAAACATAGAAAATCAAAATGGAAACAAATAAAAAGAAGGAAAAGCAGAGAGAAGTTGATTGGATATAACAAAAATAGTACTGACATCCAACAACCACTATGGGCATGCGTTAGTCGACAGATACCGACTACCCTGAATGTAATCACATGGGTTTTTTCTAAGATTAGATATAAAAAAATTAATTATTCGTTAGGCAAAAAAACCTACCTAATTATTTTTCTAATTTTACTTCTAGATATTGATTTATCACCTAAACAGCCAAAGTCGTGCTTCATATGTACCACTCAACATTATGACTTACCACTGTACACTTGTTTAATTTATCTGATGAAAAAGATCTATCTAAAGACAAATGAAGTAAAAAAAAAAAATAGTGTAAGAAATGTTTGGAATTTTAATTTCTCAATTAGGAAGAAATTATCGCTCCTATATTCGTAGTATCTCACTCCTAGTAGTCTCTTTTTGGCCCTTTAAATACAAATTGTGGTGAATTGAGAGGGTTTCTATGCGTATATATTTACGACATTATGTGGTTGAGTTTAACCAACTGGTTCCTGTGAAAAGGTATATGCTATATTTTTCTTTAGTGTTAAAATTTGTAAATCATCATCAATTGACTTAAACGAAGTATCCATATCAAAAGTGAAAATAGTAATATGTAAAATTTCTATTTAATTTCAAATAAACCATATCCCGTTGGCGGTGAAAGAATGAGGGAGATTTTTTTTTTTTTTTAAAATAACTTCTGCCGTATAGTGAGAGTGACCTTTATATATTTTAAAATACTTTAACTAATTATAAAACTTTTGAGTAATATTTTCCATGACTTTATAAAAATGTACCCCTTCACATAAATATTTTATTGTGGCGCTATTACAATTTGGAAGGTCAAACAATTATTTCTTCGAAGACAAATTTTCCTCAAACATTTTTTAAGCATTTTGGATAAATTACTATGACTTATAATATTCTTATGTAGTTACAGAATATATAAAGTTTGCTTAAGAATGTTAGGAATCTTATCTCCAAATTGACATAAAAATTAAGTGCTACTATAACTCCGATCAGTTCACATAAAATTTAGCAGAGGGAGTAACTTCCTAGAAAATTATTAAGATATAAATGTCAGAAACTATATCAAAAGTTAAATGTGTTGACCCTTCTATTTTTCGGGACAGAGCAACTAACTTATTACACGTAACAAAATTCTTCCACTAATTGTCTTGTATGTTTTGGCTGTGTAATTAACAGTAACTAGTGTTAACCCGATCCCGCGGATAATTTGATAGAATATTAATCTTATAAAATTATGATCTAATATATCATATTATTTTAATAAATATTAGTTATATTTTATTATTTAATATAGTGTGCAGAAATATAACAAAATCTATACAAACTCAAAGAATTCACATCACATAGCAACAAATAAATTGTTTGTTCCTTCTTTATTCTTATTGTCAAATTAGGAAGTAGTTAATACTAGTCAACTGGCTTATAATTTGATACTACTTCTCTTTTAATATAATAATAGATATATATTTTCTTACTCTTGAAATATATATATATTTTTTAAACTTATGTTATATTGTTCAAAATTCGTCAATTATCTAAATTTATTGATAATTTTTTTGAGTGTTAATTATTTATCTTTTATTTTTTAATCAATTTAAAATATAAACATCATAAAATTATGTTTATCCCCCTCTTTTCAACTATAATATTTGATTAGTTTTCTTAATTTGTAGTTTACTAAAAATTTAAATAATGCATTATCTTTTTACTAAATTATAATTTTGAATTCATCAAAATCATAAAGAGATAAGCATTTAATTATTTTTATAAAAAACTATTAATATTTTAATAATTATTAATTTATATTATATATAATATGCTAATCTTATATATAATATCCTAATAGTATCTTTATATTTTTCATTATGAAATTATGAGTTCTATTTATTAACTAAATTTCCAAGATGAGAAATTTAATTAGTATATATATTTTACGCTATCGCTTAATATTTTTTTGTAGTATTTTTCTTTTATAACTATTTGTTTATTATGATTTTAGTTATGTGTATATGTACGAATTTTCTTATCGTAATTCTAATTATAAGTGTTATCATTTTATATTTTTTCACAAATTTATATTTTATTTCCTTTTTTGTTCCTTGCTTATCAAATTGCATTATCCATTACTTAATATTTCTAAATATTCATATGAATTATTGATAAATTACTAGTTTAATATAATACAATGAAAATAATTTTGTACTACTCTTTATACATTTATTTTTGTTTTACAATATTTTTATTTTTCGTTATGTTTATCTATAATACGACTGTTGTTGTATAATTTTTCTAAATGGATGGTGTTAAATTAGTTCAAAGGTTAAACAAAGAAGTTCTTTTAATATATGTCATAAATTTGAGACTTTTATTCTATTGCTCAGAATTATTTTATTATTTGAAATTATCAATAATATTGAGTATTATTTTGATAGTTTATTCTATTTCTTAAGTTAATTTACAGTATAATTAGCCTCACACTATCTCTATTTTTCTTCTTTATATATTATTGTGCATTTTATGATATTGTAGTACTATGGTTTTTTAACTCAAAGAGTGATATATTTTATTCTAAATTTTAAGGACTAATACTTCAAGTATCTGTATGATTAGTAGATCTAATTCAGCTACTCTTTCAACTTTCTATCAAGCTCTAACTTTTTTCTATCTCATTCACACAACCATCTCCTCTGATTTTCTATCCATTTCTTCGCTACTTCAATGTACCGTTGTTTGAACCTTTAATTCCCTCTTTTTTTCTTAATCCTGTATAATTCTCTCTCTCTCTCTCTCTCTCTCTCTCTCTCACACACACACACACACACACACACACACACACACATATATATATATATATATATATATATATATATATATATATATATTAATTCAAACAGAGCAACCAATTAATTGACAATGTCACTTGGCTTAATGATTGCTTTTTCTTCTACTTTTAATTATAGATAGTTTTTATATATATATTTTCGTTTTTTATTATAATTATAAGATATTTATATTTATTAATTCAAATAGAGTAATCAATTAATTCAAAAATAAAAAATTCAATATTTTTGTTTAGAAACATAATTTATTTTGTCTTAATAATGCCGTTTGGCTTTTTGTAGCTATGCCACTTGGCTTAATGAGATTGCTTTTTCTTGTACTTTTAATTATAGATAGAGTTATACCATACATGAACCATTATATGCAGACATGAAAGAGTAACTAACAAAAGCTTCGACAGAAAATGCTGATTAACTTTTACTTTTCCAGAAAATTGACTAGCAACAATGTCATACTTACCATAGGATAAAAGATGTCCAAGGTCAAATGATCTCGTGGAGTTAAGCTCAAGTATAGTAATATAGCACGGAAATTATCATTTTGTTTGACTAGTAAAATGCTTATAATTCACTCTGGTTTGCTTCAAATCAATGTTTCTTAACAAAAAATAACAAAATTAATAACAATAAACCTGTTATGAAATATTATTTTGTAGTAGTAACTCCTAAAGAAGTTACTCCCACTACTGTTCTCCATTATGTAGATAACTCCCACTACTTCTCACCATTATAGTTGTAACTCCCACACCTCCA